AGGAATTGGGTCCATTTAATAGCCCACAGCTTTGTCAATGGGCCATTAAAAGGCCTGAGCCAGTCTATTCTACGTAACAAAGATCTCCCACTTCAGCTCCAGGGTGATGGGATTAAGGCATGACAGTATTAGCCCTTTACCCATCTCACCACAGGGCACCTGGGAAGAAGCAATGATCAACCAAACTTGGACTCAAAGCACAGCTTACTGAGTTGCCCCTGTATGGCCCCATGGGAATCTGACAACCAATCAGAATACAAGCTCAAGATCAAAGGCCAGAGAGGGCATAAAACCAGGGACTTTCAGCATCTCTGCCTCTTTTTCTTCTTCACCCAGCATGTGATTCCCCTTTTCTGTTCAGGAACTCAAGCCATGTGGTCCTTCCACCATTAAACCATCTTTCCAAGCAGCCTCCATGTTTCCAGGGTCTTTTTCCCCACTTGGAACTGAACTCAGAAGGACATTTCTTCCAACAGCACAATACAGCAGGTGAATCACCTGGTAGAAGCAGGGAGAATCACATGGTGGCAGGAGAATCACCTGGAACAAGGGAGTCACGACAGAAGAGGGGACTCACCTGGAAGCCTTCTTTCCACCTTATTCTGTTATTGTTAAATATATTAAAGGGTAACAACTGGAATAACCAAAGGCCACTCCCTTTGGGACAGCCTGTGCTTATTACACATATACGTAATTCTTTTTCCAGTGGTTCTAGAAAGTACTGCCTTTTGATACACAGACTTTGAGTTATGACTGTAATAAACCCTGGCTATTGTTGGAAGAAATATCTATCTGGTTCAGTTCCAAGTGTGTGTGTGTGGGGGGGGGGAAGACACTGGAAACACAGAGGCTGATTGGAAAGATGGCCTAATGGTGAAGCAGAACCACCAAGCACATGTGCATCTGGGTAGCTGACTGACCACTTGGTTTAATGAATACATGGAGTTTTATGCAGGTTCTGACCATGAAGATAAACCGAGAGTGTGCTGGATGCAAACTAACCTACTGTTCCTGGAAAAAAGCCAGGACATTATTATTACTATCATTATAATCTATTTTCAGGCTTCTCTTCTGTAATCCATTGTCAGTGCAGGAATCCTGGATTATTACAACCTCATAGAGGTCATTTCTGCACATATGCCATGCAATCATTCCTTGCGATAAAATAAATTCCCTCGACATCCAATTGAGGTCCAGCCCAGCTGTTTTCCTTTCATATTCTACGGTTGTTAAGTTCGTCTGGGAACAAGTCTATGCACATTGCCAGAGTGAAAAAGTTGAGGATGGGGAGATGGGTTATAAGTTGTTGCAGTGTCATGGGAAAGTACAACCCTCTAATATCCAAATCTTGTTTGGAGGGTTGTCTCAGAATAAAAAAATAAGATAAAGCTGTTGATCTTAATGATGGCTTAATACCTCTTTTAATTCTCACCCTCCTCTAATCCAATTTCTGAAAATCATTGATTTGCTGTTGAATTTTAATTCACCTTGTTGGAAACTGGGGATTGTAATTCCCCATCCAATCCCACCTGAAGCGATATTAGAACTTCCAAAGCTTTATCTAATGCAATGTTCTGTCTTGGAGCTAAACTGGATCATATAGTAGAGACTGTAACCATACATTATCTTTGAACCAAGAAAAATCTTTTAAAAAGGGATGTTCTGTGAAAAAAATAGCATTTAGACTTATATACTGCTTTACAGTGCTTTACAGCCTTCTCCAAGAGGTTTATAGAGTTTACAGCCTATTTCCCCCAACAATTTGGGTCCTCACTTTACCCACCTCGGAAGGCTGAGTCTACTTTGAGCCTGGTGAGATTTGAACTGCCAAATTGCAGGCAGCCGGCAGCCAGCAGAAGTAGCTTGCAATACTGCACTCTAACCACTGTGCCACCATGGCTCATAGGGCTCAAAAAGCACTGCACAGGAACTGAATTTGTCCAGTAAGGTTACTGACCACCTCACCTGGTTTTTACAAAGTTTAACTAGAGTTAGTATTTTTTTTCAGTAACAATAAACAAACAAACAAACGAACAAACAATCTAGTAATTGCAACTGTGATATAGAACTGTTTCTCTAGAAGGAACCACTTGGGGTTGGTTATTCCCTCTCTTTTAGAAATTATTATTAGCTAAGAATCATAACATACCGTCACTAAGAGCCACAACCAGCCATATAACATCAGTTGCATTGACAAGCTTGTTGAAAACACAACGCGGTTGCTGTAGGGCAAAAGTGGAAGTAGTGATCTTCCCTTCCATTTCCTCAGAAGTGAGATGAGGCACATAGTTAACCAGCTCTGGAAAACAAAGAAAACAAAGTGAGTTTCCCTCTGCATTCAGACCCCAAAGCTTCTCCATATAGTGCAGGGGTGTCAAACTCAATTTCATTGAGGGCCGCATCAAGGTTGTGTTTGACCTTGGGGGGCCTGGGTGGGTGTGGCCAGGGTGGGCATGGCCAGCTTGATGTCACTCATGTCGGGGACCTCTGTGGTGGCTCGAGCAGCGAAAAGACCTCCTGAGCTCTGTTTTCAGCCACGGGCTGGTCCTTTGCTGTTTCTAGGGCAGCCCCATGGGCCAGATCTAAGCACCCCATGGGCCGGATTTGGCCCCCGGGCCTTGAGTTTGACACCCCTGATATAGTGCTTTCTGCAATGGGTTAATCATCGGAGATAAAAAAAATTAAAGCATTCCCCTAACAACCCTTGTTTATCAAAATTGTATTAAAGTAGATAAGCAGTAGGAAGGGAGATCAGAGATGGTGTTCTGCCGATTCGGACCAGTTCACCCAAACCAGTAGCGGAAATAGCAGGTGGCTCCGCCCACCCGCCCCTGCTCTATGGCATCCCATTTAGCCCCCCCCCCCTTTTTTTTTGCCAAAAGCACATACACGGAAGGCTGAGTGAGCTCACATTTGCGAACTGGTAGGGAAGGTAAGTGAATACCACACCTGGTTATAAAGGACTATGGGGGTCTTCTAATCCAAACCCCTGCCTAGCCAGGAAACCCTACACTACCTCAGACAAATGGCTATCCAACATCTTCTTAAAGACTTCCAGTGTTGGGGCATTCACGCAGTGATTTCTACTGCCACAGGCTCCAGAAGCTGGGGAGGAGGTCCTTTGCAGGCGCTGGCCAACTCCTTTTTACATCCATCTGTTTAAATCTCCTTCAATATTGGGGGGAGGAGGGGTGGCATTGAAAGTATTGCCGTTTCAATGGCACTTTGTGGCAAGAACACGCGTTAGTTGCGCTCTTTCCTGGCCTCTGTGTGCAAAGAGGCCAGCCTCAAAACGACTCCTCTCCTTGACTTCCAGTTTGACGGTAGGGCCGTTTTTCACACGAGACGCGTTCTGCTGTGATCCATTCCGCAAAAGAAGGCTTCTTCTCTGCGCAATTATCTGCGCATCCAAGAAGGAGCAGTTAAAGAAAACGGGGAAGAGGAAAGACAAATTAAAAGAAGGAAAGATGGGAAGAGAGCAAAGATGGGGTCTCCCCCCCCCCCCGGTCCGTGCACCGCCGTCTAGCAATGCAAAGAGAGAAGGCAAAAGGTCCACAATCCACTTCGCCTCTACTTGGACTGAAGTTAGGAGGCTGACTCGTACAACCAGCGGTGACCATTATTTGGAGGAATAACAATCGCAGCCGTGCGACCGAGATTCGCTCTTGCAGAATCTTTTTTTTTTTAAACCAAATTATTAAAAAAAGCCTTTGGAACATTCTTATTCCTAAAGCCAAAAACAAAGGATGAGGCTTGCTAGAGAACCGAGTGGAGGTGATGTGCGAGGGGAGGCGAGGTGCTGTGGTGGGGGGAGATGTTGCTGAAATAATTCGATCTATCAGGAAATCGGAGCTGAGGGGGTGGGGGGGGTCAGGGGAAAGTCTT